ACCGGACTGAACCGGACTGAACCGACAGAACCGGACTGAACCAGACTGAACTGAACCGGTTCAGTCTGTTCAGGCTCAGTGAGACGTCGCTTTGTCAGTTCAAGTGTAAACCCTGGAGTTGAGTTGTGACATGTCCTGTTCTGGTCTTGCAGATGGTCCAGGATCCGACCCAGTTTGACGTGCTGGTCATGCCCAACCTGTACGGAGACATTCTGAGGTCTGTCTGTCCTCAGGTTCTGTCCTCAGGTTCTGTCCTCAGGTTTTTTTTTCCTCAGTAAAACTGAACATGATGTTTGTGTTTCAGCGATCTGTGTGCCGGTCTGATCGGAGGACTCGGGGTCACTCCCAGCGGGAACATCGGCGCCAATGGAGTCGCCATTTTTGAATCGGTTTGTTCCTCTTTTATTTATTTAATTGTTCAACCTGCAACTTTAAAGTCTTCATGAAGTCAGAATCAGTGTTTTGTCATGTCAGTGTTTTGTCCTGTCCTCCAGGAAGTCCTGTTAGCTCCACTTTCTAACTGTATTCAGTGATTCTGGTCATTCTGCTAATTAACTTCTGCTAACTGAATTTGTCGTTAGTTGCCGACAGAACCGGGTTCAGCAGCCGGCCCAGGTTCGAACACTGCCTCTGAGACCGAAAGGGAATAACGTTACAGTACCGAGGTCGTTTACACAGTTTCTGATGGACAGATCGATCAGTAGCTAACCGCTAACTGACTCGGCCCTGTAGCCAACCCGGCAAGAAAACCACCTCGGTACTGGATTCCCTGTTGTGTTCGGTCCCGGGTCGGCTGCATTCACTGGAAGGTAGACGCTGATGCTAGTTCAAGCTGCTCACTGTGAAGCAACAGCTTCTGACCTCCAAACATCCTCCAGTTTTCTGAAGGTTTGGTTGTTACTGTTCTCCTGAAACAGGAGTTCCTGGTCGTGTAACGCGTCAATCAATCAATGTGACGGGTCCCGAACTGCCACAGGAAACACAATCACTGTACTTCCTGTTTCAGAGACATTATTGGGTTTATTTAGTTTACGAAGAGACAAATGGTCACATTGTTCCTCCTGCAGGTTCACGGCACCGCGCCCGACATCGCCGGCATGGACTTGGCGAATCCCACCGCCCTACTGCTCAGTGCGGTCATGATGCTGCGTCACATGGGTCTCCATGACTATGGCAACAAGATCCAGACAGCGTGCTTCGACACCATCAGAGACAAGAAGGTGAGACCTGATTGATTGAAGGGATTAATGGACTGATCGTTATTGTTTAAGTTGGATCTAAGGCAGTCTCTGAGGTGGTAACCATGGAAACGGCGTTGTCTGTGTGTCTTAGGTGCTGACGAAGGACCTGGGAGGAAACTCCAAGTGTTCAGAGTTTACAGCCGATATCTGCCGTCGCATCCAGGACCTGGACTGAGGCTGCAGGAGCCTGGACCTCCACGGGCACAGAGCCACGCCTCCTCCTCCCTCTGCCTCCTCCCTTCCACTCCCCCCAGGGGAGACAGTGGGGGAGGCTGAGCTGCAGTATCTGGTTTTCTTGCTGCTGTATTTGTGTTTGTTTTTGCTTTAACAACGTGGAGGTGTAGCGAGGGGGGCGGGGCTTCTGTAGCAGCTACCTGATTGGTTGACATAATGAAACATTCACAGTAAACATACGCACAAATGTAACACGACCAAGTTTGAATGAGTGTTTTTACATCATCATCAGTTGAATATGAACAGCTAATATCGGCCCCCTTTGATACTTGATATGTTTTTAACAGTAATGCTAAAGGTCCATTTATTTATTGTTTCCTGTTACTGTGTCCTGCTGCACAGAGATAAACATATAAAGGAAGAGCTGCTGTCTCTGTGTCTACATTCACATTCTCATACAGTCGCTGCAGTAAACAACAAACAATATGTTGTTTCTTAACACGGAACATATCAAAGAATGTAGAGCGGCACCCACTAGAGCTCGCCAAAGCTTCACAGGTTCACAGTCAGTCTGTATCTACACATCATTCTGTGAATAAAACTAAAGTCAACAGTTGGTTTTAATGTGTGATTATATTATTATTATCAGTGTTATTATTATTATATATTATCAGTATTACTATTATATATTATTATCAGCATTATTATTATTGTATTATCAGTGTAATTACTATTATATATTATGTTATAATATATATTATCAATATTATTATTGTTATATGTATTATATATTATTATCAGTATTATTATTATTGATCAGTATTATTATCAGTATTATTATTATTATTGATCACTCTGTATACCGATTTACTTTTTAAACATTGAGGGAAAAATCTTTGATTATATTTAACTTTTAAAAATGTTATATTTTGATTTACACAGTTCAAACAGTAAAGAATGATTGATTATGTATCAGGTCTTTATGAAACTAAAGTAAATACATTAATAACATTAATAATAATAATAACGTTAAACACTGAGCACCCGGAACTAACCGGGAGCCCCGCCCCACAGTGACGTCACATGACCACGCCCCCCGCTTCCTCTCTGTGACGACAAGCTGCCAGAGACAGACCGGAACACACCGCGGCTTCATCTTCAAAATAAAAGATCATAACGTTGTCTGCACAGAGAACACAGAAACATGTTAAAAATATATATAT